ATCCATATAAATGGCCCACCCTGTATATGTATTGTACATTTATTGTTGCATTCCCCATACTGAAATGTTGTCTTTTGTCTTAAACCGTCTCATCTCTTACTACACTGCTCTCTGTCCAGTACTGTATCTCACTGCTGTCTGTCCTGTATCGCACTGCTCTCTGTCCAGTATCTCACTGCTGTCTGTCCTGTATCGCACTGCTCTCTGTCCTGTATCGCACTGCTCTCTGTCCTGTATCACACTGCTGTCTGTCCTGTATCGCACTGCTCTCTGTCCAGTATCTCACTGCTTTCTGTCCAGTACTGTATCTCACTGCTGTCTGTCCTGTATCGCACTGCTCTCTGTCCAGTATCTCACTGCTCTCTGTCCAGTATCTCACTGCTCTCTGTCCTGTATCGCACTGCTCTCTGTCCTGTATCACACTGCTGTCTGTCCTGTATCGCACTGCTGTCTGTCCTGTATCGCACTGCTCTCTGTCCNCACTGCTCTCTGTCCTGTATCACACTGCTGTCTGTCCTGTATCGCACTGCTGTCTGTCCTGTATCGCACTGCTCTCTGTCCTGTATCACACTGCTCTCTGTCCAGTATCTCACTGCTCTCTGTCCTGTATCGCACTGCTCTCTGTCCTGTATCGCACTGCTCTCTGTCCTGTATCACATTGTTCTCTGTCCTGTATCTCACTGCTGTCTGTCCTGTAGCTGTAGGCTAAAGTAACCTGCAGATATAAATCAATACCAAACGGTGCCTTACGAGACGTTTCCGAGCTGGTGGACACGTCCTCCTCGGTGACGTCGCTGCCTTCCTCGTCGTTGTCGACTCCCTCGACGTTGCCCTCCTGCCCCGCCTCCTCCACAGGCTCCACCCAGTGCCCGGGCATGAGGGCAGCCGAGTCGTATGAGCTGCACAGGGGCCCCACGATGTGGGTGATGAAGGACTCCTGCAGCTTGGCCAGCTGGGGCGCCGAGCGGTCCATGAAGGGGCTGATGGGAAGGCCCAGGCTGGCCTCCTCGTCCCCCTGTGGGAGCGTGCGGTAGCATTAGCGCAGGGGCCCATCTGAGGGGCCCCCAACACATTTAAGCTGGAGACCAGTGGTGCATATGGAGGGTCAGGAGGTGCTTTGTGTCTATTGCACTTTTTTGTTTCCTTTCAGAAATCTAGGCACTTCAAGTCTTGAAGACAGATAACATTCACCTCTAACAAAATGACCTTCGTTATACATTGCGTCACCGTGGCAACGACACACAAGAAGTAGCATGCCCCCCCCCACCAGCTGCTCCCATGGACACCCTGAAGTTCCTTTTTTTCATATTTACTGCTGGATCACGTGCAACATTTCAGAGTCCGGCAATAATCTGAAAGCCAGTGAGGTCGCCTCAGTATGAGGTCATGGCTGATGGCATGGTAACGAGCCCATCTTCGTTAATCACAGACACAAAGCAATTCTGCCAGAGGTTCCACTGCTGAGCTTCTGCTTAAAGCTACATCCCACATAACGCTCTGACCCCCCTCCCCCCAAAGTGGGTGTGGCCCAAACTGACCGGGCAAATTACGTGGACGTCAACAGTGGACAATCACTGCTCTCTTTGAGCATCCCATAGTGGGTAACAGAGATAATGACCTTGGTACTATCAGTGTCCTACAAACCATAACGAGGTCTCTGAATTCCTATAGAACATACACTGCTGATCGAGGCAGGAACAGGAAATACACCACAATGTATCGTTAATGATTTATGCCATACGTACATGCTTAAAGTACGTCAGTTAGAGCCTTAGATACCGGTACATCAAATTTACGTCAGTTACAGCCTTAGATACTGGCACATCAAATTTACATCACTTACAGCCTTAGATACCTGCACATCAAATTTATGTGAGCTAGAACCTTAGATACCTGCACATCAAATTTACGTCAGTTAGAGCCTCAGATACCGGCACATCAAATTTACATGAGTTACAGCCTTAGATACCGGCACATCAAATTTACATCAGTTAGAGCCTCAGATACCACCGCAGTCACATTAACGTCAGCAGCTTCCTGGGGGCGGGGCCTCAGCTCTAATGGAGGCAGGCAGCTTCCTGGGGGCGGGGCCTCAGCTCTAATGGAGGCAGGCAGCTTCCTGGGCAGGCGGGGCCTCAGCTCTAATGGAGGGAGGCAGCTTCCTGGGGGCGGGGCCTCAGCTCTAATGGAGGCTGGCAGCTTCCTGGGGGCGGGGCCTCAGTTCTAATGGAGGCAGGCAGCTTCCTGGGCAGGCGGGGCTCACCTGCTCATAGAACTCATTGACGATGCCCTCTGTCCACTTCAGGTGAAGCTCCTTGCTCTTGAGTGGCCCATTGATGTCGGCTAGCTTGATGCACATCTGGCAGACCAGCAGCCGGTCGTTCTCATTGCCCCAGTCGATGCCGGGGCCCACGTCATCGCCCACCTGGGACGGGACACGTGTTTAGATACTAATAACTCTGCCAATCAAGCAGTCAGCAGCTGGCCCAACTTCTGTGGTTCCACGTGGCCTGTCAGTCTGTTATTGTTTGCTTTGGGCTGAGCTTGGCCTCCTAATCGGGTCTCTCGGTGCTCTATAGCTGTATCTGGACATGGTTCATTATTTCCCTATTATTTACTGCCTGGAAATTCCTCGGTCTGTCAGGAGTTCTGACTGTGACACAGAGGCACTGAGAATCGGTGGCTGTACATATACATTTAACAGATGCTTTTATCCAAAGCTGTGGGGTTAAGGGCCTATTCAAGGTGCCTATGGTGAACCACTCTGCTGGTTTTGGGATCTGAACCAACAACCGTCTGATCCCAGGTACAGTGTCTGCTGAGCTACTCACTGCCCCCTGAATAATTGATACCACTTTCACTAAGGACACAAGGCATCTTAAGATGATTATTTAACTTGTCATTTCCAGTTTTTTCTCAGTCCATTACCCCGAATTCATCCTGTCAGCTGTACCATGCAACACAGCAAAGGCGTCCATCTCTTTCCGAAAGTGGGCACTACCTTAGCGTTGAACTCAGCCAGGAAGTCAAAGTGCTTCTTCAGGTCGGTGGCGAGGATGGCCTCGATGACCAGGAAGCGAAAGCGCTTGAACTCCACATGGTCCAGATTGACCAGGAAGTTGTACTCGGGCCGTGACATGAAGAGGCTCCAGGCTGAGGCCGCGTGGTGGTTCTCCAGCACCGAGCGGTCGTTGTACAGAACTGCCTGCAGGGGGAGACAGAGTGCAAAAAAAAAAACCCAAATGGATGTCAATAACACTTTATTTATTTATTTATTTGTGATTATTTGTCATTGTTGACACACCACAGCACACAGTGCACAACAACGAAATGTGTCCTCTGCATTTAACCCATATGTGACTTTCGTGACATAGCAGGGGGCAGCTAATTCAGCGCCCAGGGAGCAGTGCTTGGGGACGGTACCTTGCTCAGGGTACCTCAGTGGTGTCTTGCTGGGCAGGGATTTAACCTGCAATCTTCCAATTACGAGTGCGCTTCCCTAACCATTAAGCCACCACTGCTTTTGTGCTACTATTGCATTTTATTTGACTCGATTTATCAGACATGTTTTTATCCAAAGCAACTAACACTAGCAGAAAGGGGTAAAACTTATGTGATCCTTTGGATTTGAACTCACAGCCTTTGCACTGTTAGCACAACACTCTACCCCCTGGAATGGGGGGGGGGGTGATACTCCACATCTACACTGTGAAGCTTGTTATGTTCCATCACTTTCCTCCAAGTACTCCAGTAGGAAGACTTGCAGTTAGCAGAATATCCCAGTCAGGGTGTACCCCTGTCTCATGAAAATGGATGGGTCCAACATTAGTACTGCTTCAGTGTGGGGGGGGGGGGGGGGGGCACAAGGCCAGCCCTTTTCCAGGCTCCAAGCAAAATAAGGTTACCCTAGTTGTCATTTGTAATTCTCCATCCCGGTTTGACAGGCTTGTCACATGGGGGCCCCCTGGTGGCCGCTGGGCCCTAAGCAGCCACTATTTGCTTATGCCTCATGGGGGATACAGTGAAATAATAACGCCCAGTGACAGAATAATGGTATGACTCTCTAATTATATGCTTGTGCGATGCTCTTTGCCTGTTTTTTTAACACGTTACCCTGCAGGCTACCTTAAACAAAAAGACAAGATAAATGTGCATAACCTGACTCACAGCAGGGAAAGGATTCATAACAACCAATGAGGTGCCGACCACGTCAGAGAGTCTCAGCCAATCATAGGAGGGCTACGGGGTTTAGACAGGAGCTTCCGCTGCAGAGTCACCTGGGGGGCGCTGGTGGCCACCAGGAAGGCGTTAGTCCTGCCGGGGTGGTCGTAGTCGTGCATGGCGGCCGCCACGTACAGCGCCATGAGCTCCAGGGCCGGGATGAGGCCCGACAGGCAGCCGTAGTCGTCCTCCAACGCCGCGTATGTCTTGGAGACCGTGAAGCCCACGCGGCTGTGGGTGATGCCGCTGTCTGAGTCTGCAGTGGGGGGCAACGGGGGACAGTGTCAGGGCAAAATCAAGAGCTGCATCATAAGCAGTAGGCCTGTGATTCACCACTCAGACTCCTGACTGTACTCTCTAGCAATTTATTGAGTATTTGAAACACCTGGGGGGGGGGGACGGGACCCTGATCATGGCATACCAGAGTCGCTGGCAGAGCCGTGGTCGCCAATGAGGCTGGGGAGGCCTGGCACGGCCTGCGTGGTGAGGTACCAGACGGCGTGTAGCACATCCGTGGCGTGGATTCTGTTGTGATCTGCGGGAGGGTGAAAGATGCCAAGGTGTAATACAGGCTGCGGCCACTAGGTGGGAGGCTGAGTGTTTGTCTGAAAAAGGGGTTTGACTGGCAATCAGAGGGAAAGTGCTTGCAGCAGGGAGAGTGGCTTTTAATGATAAATTTATTCTAAAGCTTCCTGCTAAAAAATTTGTGAAAATCATGACGATTTGTTGATCCCCATGAGAAACTCTCTTTTCTCCTCCCCCATCTTGGTCTCCATGAGACGCACAGGCACATAGAGTATACAGATGAGAAGGCAGGATCAACCAGCACGCAAGCAGTAGCCTTGCTCACTGGCCTAATGGTATCATCAGCCACGGGATTGGAACCAACATCCTTCTGATCAGAAGCACAGTCCCAACCTGCTGCGGCCCCAAAACACAGGCTTTCGGCCAGAATTGAACCCAGTTCAACTGCTTGGGAGCCATCTATGCTAACCCCGATATGACCAACAGTGGTGAGGATGCCAAGTGCAGTCACTGTGACATGAGACAGGCAGGAATGCCAGCTCCCATGTTGGCACTAGATCGCTGTACTCACATGGGATGTCTCTGTACCCACTCTCCAATGCGTGGAAGTAGTTCATGAATTCCCGCACGGGGATCCTGAAGGTTTCAAAGAGGCCCATGTCTTCAAAGAGTCTGCAAGAAACCTGAGACAAACCACGCCCCCTCATTAACATAATGTAGGTCTTATTGGTGCATATTAAGCACAGGCTGACAGACCACACCCCCTCAATAACATACCAGTTTCTCATTGCCGCACATTAAACCCTGACCTTGTCAGGCTCCACCCCATCACTGACATACCTGGGTCTCATTGGTGTAGATTAAGGCCCGGCTCCATAAGCCCCCTCCCCCTCATTGACATACCTGGGTCTCATTGGTGTAGATTAAGGCCCGGCCCCATAAGCCCCCTCCCCCTCATTGACATACCTGGGTCTCATTGGTGTAGATTAAGGCCCGGCCCCATAAGCCCCCTCACCCTCATTGACATACCTGGGTCTCATTGGTGAACATCAAGCCCCAGTATCATATGCCTCTCCATCCTCTGTCTATTGTTCTCAATGTGCATTAAGCCCTTTCACAGTTCTTGGACTGTGGTGACTGCAGCTCATGCCTCTAAACAGCAGATGGCGCCATTACCTGTGATTCACACAGCCATCAGACTGATGCGCTCTGCTCTCCGTAGTTGGAGGGACACTGTTTTTTATTTATTTATTTTTTTTGCCAAACCCCCTCTTTTGTGAAACGGCTGGCCCGGATGAATGAATATTGCATTACCAAAGGCTCTGCACACAGCCAAGCACGTTCCTATAAACCTTTCAGGCCACCTCTGACGCCCTGGATCGCAGACACACACAGGCACACCCATACACACACACACATGTTCAAAGTGACACACGGCCACTCGCAGTTCAAGGCGACACCAGCAGGGGGCAGAAGACTAAAGTTGCTACGGGCATTTTGCAGATTCAGCTTTGATGTGGGGGGGGGGTTCTTCAGAACCTTCAGCTGGATTGCAAATATCTTGCTATATAAAGCAAACCACCCCCCCCTCCCCTCCCCACCCCCTCCACTGAAAAGCTGATATAAATAATGTGCCTGATGTGCCTGTAATTGAACAAGCAAGGCCAAATCAGGGTGGGGGGGCCTGCTCTTCCATGCATCGTCAGTCAGGGATGAGGAAGGATTTGGAGGGGGAGGTGAGTCTGTTCCGTACCCCCTCCCCCTCTGTTAGCCCCACCTGGATGCTGTCCTACGCCTCCAGCACTCCTCCCCCCCAGGTCCAGTCGAGGCCAAAAACACGCCCGTCTGATGAGCGGCCCCCCCTACCTTTCATCTTGGCCCGTGACTGGAACAGCACAACTCACTCACCCCCCCAAACATTCAATTTTTATTTATTTTTTGGAAAATTAACAAATGGAACAAAAAACAATGAGTTTTCCCGAAAATCAGCTACCAGTGTGCTGCATTAATAGCACGAGAGTACTAACCTTCGCCCGAACGCTGGTCTCCGCTGATCCCTCAGCAATTATCATAGTGACCACGGTCACGGTTAATGTAAGGGCTAATTGAAGATGTTATGCGTATTTCCAATTACTGTAACTCAGTCATCGGTTCACACATCGGTTCACACAGGCCAACTTCATTTTCAGTCCCGTCACATGATTGGCTGACGGAGCTGCGCAGATGCAGCCAAAGCAACCGACGCAGATCCCACCTGGCTGAGGATGCAGCCGCATGTGCCGTTGGTTTTCTCCACCAGGCTGAAGATGGGGAAGTTCCAGTTGTTCAGCTGAGCCATGAGGGGATCCAGCCCGTCCATCACCAGGGGCTCGGGGGCCAGGATGGGTTTGTCCTGGGGGGAGGGTCATCAGTCAGCCTTGAGTCACAGATGCTTGAACTTCAGATGGAACCAAAGTGAGACAAAGCGGCAGATTGGAGTCCTAGAATATTCTATTAGCATCTAACTGCTAATCTGCGTCTAAAAGCCTCTCAAACATTTTTTTGCGGTTCACACAGAGAGCAGCTGCAGGGTCTCGGGAGAGGGGGGGGCACCTCTGGGGCCGCGAGGGGGTCCAGCAGGAGTCTGTCGGGGCGGTGCGTCCTGCAGAGCTCGCGGTGCCGCGCCTCCCCCTGCGGCTCGTCACCGTCGCCGCCGCTGTGGGGGGCCTCTTGTGTGCTCTCGCCATCCGGTGACGGCGCCATGCCATCGTCTGGAGGGCGTGAATACAGATGCGGTCGAGATACAGTCAAGACACGGTCAAGACACGGTCAAGATGCGGTGTCAAGACAGCACTCTGACAGACCTGATCTATACAAGCGATTTACGCTAACATATCTGATACATTAAATTTTTATTTCACATATGCCAGCCACTTATTTATTATTACTATTTAATTTTTATTTATTTCATTACTATTCCATAATATTCTGTTCTTTTAGGGTTCTGTTTGTGCACTTTTTAAAAATGCACTTTTTTATATGTTTGCACATGAACAAACGTGTTTTTGCACCTTGTCTGCTTTGCAGTTATGGCTGTTTCTTGCTGCTCTATATTCTTTGCCACTAAAGGGATCCAGCAGATGACTGTTTTATGAAAAATCCAGAATGTGGCGCTTCGACAGGAAAGGCAAAGAGGAACAAGACAAGGCAGGGATGGCGATCTCTCTCACCTGTGCGGCAAGTCCGGTCCGCTCTGTCCAGCGAACCCCCACCATGGCTTAGTTTATTGTAAGGCTTTCCACAGCTGTCAAAGGGGCAGAGGTCAGAGGTCAGAGGTACTGCGATCTGTAACATCAGTATCACACATGCAGGGCCTCGCCTGGCTTGCACTTTTCCAGAGCAGGGAGAAAAGCTTCAGGGTTCAGCGTTTGTGTCACCGATGTCTGTGGGAAAATACTCCGTTGTGAAGATATGAAGCCAGAATACTAATATTTATAGTGACAAATAAATACTCACTGGAAAAATTGTCAGATTTTTAAAGTACATCTAAAAATACGCCGTGGAAAACTGACCTTGCTCAGACGGCACGAGATCTCATCAGCCGCGTGCCGGGCGAGCGGGCGAGCGGGCGAGCGGGGCGACGGCCTTTGCTAGCCTCATCTATGGATTCATCAGGGGTTGAGATCACATCCCCTTTCACCCTAACAAGCGGCGACACCCAAACGGGACGCCACCAACAGCGGCGCGAGAGCATTTTTAAACAGAGAAACGGCTGCTAATTGCACAGCCCAGCGGTCTGAGACAGGTGCGAGTCGTTTCCTAAGCATTTCTGCAAAACAGAACAGGTTTCCTGTCATTACGGATACAGGAGAACGTTAAAAAACACTGGATTTCCATCGTTACGGCGCACAGCCGTGCCTGGAAGTGAACCAGCGCAATTAAAATACTTTGCGAAAACCTGCCCAGAGCAGAAAGACCCATAATTGTTGTATATGACTCCTGGTCTTGTCTAAGTTGCCTTTTTTGGAGGTGGGGTGCTTTTAAGAGGGGGGAACAGAACACAGATCAGATCCACATGCACAGTCACTCCTGTGTAGGCAAACATGGAGGACAGAGAGAAGTTAGTGTTTAAACAAAGCCAGAGCCACCCTAGGCATATACGAAGTTAACGGCTGCTTAGGTCCCGCTGGCCACCAGGGGGCAACCTCTTCTGATCAGCCTGTCAAAATGGGAAGGATGATTGCAAATGAGAACTAGGTTAATCAACATTTTGCTTAGGGCCCTGACATGGGTTCTGCCGGCCCTTGGGCGTAGCAGCCAGCTGACGCTAATTGTGGGAAAATGATCTTTGCACAATGCAGACCGTGGGTTATCACATCAAAAAGTCTCCATGATCTGTGATGTTACCTCCCCCCTTTTTAAACCCACCGGCCGCGATCACACGTGCACAAATGCAGCATGTTGGCCCCCAGAAATATTACAAGAAATGAGGCTCATTATCCTGGCAATCGGAAAATAAAAACAGTGCCGGCCCCTTCGTAGAATTCCGCGTGCTTGGCCGGCCCTGACCGCCAGGGACGGCCCAGCCTGCTTTGTTATGCCTTCCCGCTTAATTTGCCGCAGCGCTCTACGCCAGTGCCACTCGGGATGTGGGCCAGCAGTCCTGGTGCTGAAATGGCAGTTCCCCGCCTCCCAGTTACCGGCCCGTAATCCCCGCTCCGTAGCTGTAGATGCCGAACGCGGAGGGAAAAGTGTTCGCTCTGCGTCACCACTGCACATCTCGCCGGCTGCAGTAATCGCTGCTCTCTGTCCTGCGTGTCACTGCTTTCAGACACTTGTAATGGAAAAAAATCCCACAGAATTCTCATAGATTTATAAATAAGTTCAAGACTGTGACGAGGAAGATATACACGGGAACAAAAACTTCTGGTACAAATAAACGATGTTAAGAATTCTTGTTGCCAAAGTACAAGCATTAATCATCTGAATAATCTGTAGTTGGCTGGGCCTTATGGGACTGTAAAGATATATTGAGTCTGTGCATTGCAATTCCTCCTCCTGAAGGACAGGTGGTACTGTCTGTATGCATTTAAAGCTGTGACAAACGTTTCCTAATAGTAATGATTAAAATGAGTCTCAAAACAGCTCAGAGTCAGACGGTTGGGTCTCTCTCCCTTTCATTACTCAAAACATTTCTGCAAAAACGAGCGAGTGAGGTGATTCACCTAATTACGGCATCAGACTGTATTTAAACATTCACACAAACAAACAGACTGACTCAGCTACAAAAATGAAAGCAAACAAACCCACATGTGATAATTATGGTGCTGACAGTGCCACACAGGAACGGGTGACGGATCCAGAGTAAGTTCTATCTCCATACAAGTGTCTGGTTTTGTCTTCCGTTTTCTCAGTTGGCCAAAACTTCATATCTGTGCTGTTTTAAAATAATGTGTAACCCACCATCTTGCAAGCTGAAGCTTAAAAAATGAGGATCTATACGATCTATAAGGTCATAGTATTGACATACTGAAAGGCTGCTCCATTTGCAGAGTCTCACTTATCCTACAGGCCTGACTCCTGCTTTCAGTCCGTCCTTCCATCACAGGATGCAGACCATCCTCTAATGCCTGGGAATGCCTTAATTTACGGGACTCCTAGTCGGTGGAATCACCTCTCTGCCAGTTAAGGGTCGCCCTGCATTGCTTGGGAGGTAGATCACAAATGAAGTCCTCCTATTTAAGCACCTCATGCCTTACAAGACAGTTTACTGGCTATTGTCTAGTTTACTGTATATAGCTCGGCTGGTCCTGCGGTCTATGCGTGTGTATCAGTAAGACCCCCCCTTTCCCCTGTGTGCTGGACCTCTGCGCTCAGGCCAGGCGTCAGCATGACCGCCGAGCTGGAGCAGCAGAGCCAGGATCCTCAAACGCTCACAGAGGAGGCAGCCACCTCACAGGCTGACCAGCCGACCACCGCTGAGATTCCAATGGAAGATGACCCCCCCCCCCACTCCATAACAGTCACGCATTCATCTGTAGTTAATTTCTACTGCTGAGTTGCATGCATTTTTTGTTATGTCAAATACACACCAATAATGTTGTTATGCTGTAATTATTCATGTATGTTATACCCATTAGTGAAAGAAATATTACAGAGAGGGTTGGAGAAACGTCGCTGACAGCAGGAAGGGTGAGGCAGTCCTGTGTCTCATTGGTTACTCAGGTGTTTTACCCTTGGAAAAGGTGGAAAACATCAAGCTGCATAGAAATGTGAGGCGTCGGATAAGAAGGTGTGTAGTTTGTGTTGGGAAGTGCGTGTAAATATATCCACGTTCTGCTGGGTGGGCGGGCGGGACTTTCCAGAAGGTTCAACTGGTCTAAGGACAAGCCCCGTCCTCTGGGGAGAGGCACAAACTAAACAAACCCAAAACATGTTTTCTTTAATATAAATGCTGGAGACATACTCCCTGGGGCCAAAGAGCAAAGTGTAGAATAATTAATCACTTTTGGCAGGAAACTGAATATAATTAGCAAAGGCTGCCTTATCTGAACCAGAATCACTCATCTGCTCATATATTAGACACGGTCTCAGCTGTAATGTGATAAAGGGTGCAGCAGTAAAAGACCAGGGCAGCATTCCGGAAGCCCGCTTTGGATCTCAGGAGCCCCCAC